GTATATATATATATATATATATATATATATATATATATATATATATATATATATATATATATATATATATCCTCTTTATTATTTACACACACAATACAATTAAATTTATATTTTAATTTGTATATAAGCATTTTTCCGACCAAATTCAGTCGGAAATATTCAATTATAATTATTTCGGTTGGTTAATTTTAATAAATAATTATTTTTGACCAAATATTTGACCACTTTCCGACCGAATTCGTTCGGAAATACTAAGTTATAATTATTTCGATATTTTGATTTGCGTGGGAAACAAAAATATTCTGCCGGCAATTTAGAAATTTTTTAATAAATAATTATTTTTTACGTTATATCCAAAAAATTGACCAGTTTCCGACCGAATTCGGTCGGAAATTTGAAAGTATTTTAATATATAATTATTTTTTACGTTATGTACAAGGTTGACCAAATATTTGACTACTTTCCGACTGATTTCGGTCGGAAATACTGATTATTATTTATTATTTCGATATTTCGGCCTGCGCGGGAAACAAAAAAATTCTGCCGGCAATTTAGAAATTTTTTAATAAATAATTATTTTTTACATTATATACAGTTGACCAAAAAATTGACCAGTTTCCGACCGACTTCGGTCGGAAATTTGAAAATATTTTAATAAATAATTACTTTTTACATTATATACAAGTTTGACCAAATAGTTGACAAATTTCCGACCGAAATCGGTCGGAAAGTTTATTTTTTATGCTGTCAGCCACTTCTGTTGACTTTTGTGACCAAATACTCTTGTTTCCGACCGATTTCGATTGGAAATTCCTTGGACGGAAATCACCTGGTTTCTAGTAGTGAAAGTTACTTGGACAAATTTGTTTTGTTGATAACCTCAAACCAATCAAATAGATATTAATTAATACATAATCAATTGTATTTGAAAATGGCTCCTCTGCTCTGAAACAAACTGTTCCAAATGTTCCTGGAAATTATTGTGAGTCGTTCCTGCAATTTACACTAGTAAATATTAAAAAAGTTAGGAATCATTCCTGGAGTTTGCACTAGTAAAGGTTCAAAACCAAGAATAATTCTTGGAGTTTGCACTAGTAAAAATTCAAAAAACAGAAAGCATTCTAGGAGTTCGCACTAGTGAGGATTTAAAAACCAGGAACAATTCCCAGAGTTTGTATTAGTAATGGTTCAAACACTAGGAATCGTTACTAGGGTTTGAACATTAAGCAAAATTTTAAATTCCAACATAGTTTACTGAGGTTCACTTGTCAAAGCTTCAAACTCAATTGCAGGAGTTGTATTTTTGTTGGGGACAAAAATATCTATTTAGTTAGACTAGTGACTACTTCACTAATGCATTTGGAAAGCTGGCAAAACTTTAATAGCTGGCCCAAAAAATAGCTAACCCACCTATGTTTTTTTGCACAAACATCTCTTGGGTCGTAGGTGAAATAGCTTGTGAAGTCACACGTGAAGTACTAGAGATCGATGTGTGAAGCTCTTTCTATTTTATTTTCACGGGAGCAAGTAAATGCTTACCCTTTTATAGCTTACTAGACGGGGAACATTTTATATTGATAAAATTGGTGATATATGTTTATTCTTTGAACATTGATTTGTCATTATTCTCTCTTTAAGAATATCCATTCCCTCTTATTCTGTGACGATTCTATCGATCGTCTTGTGTATTTGAGCCATATTTTCCTATTTGTTGCTTTTCGTATGCTTGTAGTTTATATTGTGACTTGGGGGTGGTCGATTTGGTTTCGTGGAGGTTTGGGAGTGAATTGGAACATTTAGTTCTATTTTCGATGACTTAAGTTGTAAGAGTTGACCAAGGTTTGACTTTTGAATAGGATCTCAGATTTATAATTTGATGGTTCCAATAGATTCGTATGGTGATTTTGGACTTAGGCGTATGTTCGAATTTGGAGGTTCCTAAGGGGTTTGAGCTCTATTTGCCAGACATTGGCAATTTGAATAATATTTGACAGATAGCTGACCTTGATATTATCGGGATCCGATTGGGGT